TGTCGGGCTAGAAGATCTACTAGGTCCCTTCCGACCCTAAATCTATGAAACTATGAAACTATGAATTCTCACACCTGTTCCCTCTTAAAGCCCATTAATGCAGGAATGAAACACCAATGTGGCTGGTCCACATTGATGGTCTTAAGAAGAAACAAGATAGCTCAATTTGGGACAACAGGAGAGAGGACAGACAGTTCATCCTAGAAAGGAAGTTATCTTCTCAACAGAGGTTTAAAATGTTTGAAAGAAGATACAATACCGTGATAACGAGGTAAGTTTGAATGGGTGGCAAGACTCCTGGGTTCTCTTCCTGCCACTATTCTGATCAGGTCGCTTGACTTTTTAGCGCTTATTTACCCACCTATAAAATTAGCATTACTTTCTGAATCCTGCACCATCACAGGAGGGCAATGAGACTTCATTAGTTCAAATTTACTAAATGATTTTTGTTCAGATACAATAGAGCCATATAGCATCAGAACAGATCCACTCTTTCCCGGCATAGAGTTCTCTTTCCCAGTGCCCAGACTTGAATGAACCACCAAATTATGGAATGGAAATACAAAAAATGGTCTTAATGAAGAATCAGATACTCACTAGAGGTATTTGAATAGCAGAGATTGTCCTCAGCAGTATATGGCACAGTTTCATATTCACAAACACTGAGACTAGAGAAGGTTTAAATACCCAGGTCCTGTTAAAGTCAGTGGGAGTTTGACTCCATTGACTTTCAACAGGGCCTAGATTTCTCTGCGGATCAAATGCCAGCTTGACTTCAGAGATCCACAGTAGACATACCTAAGGAGGAACAGAGCTGGGATTTTCTCTAACTGGCTATGTATGGTGTCATAATCCCATTGCATAGGAGGAGGCATCAGTCCCTGGTAGTTTTTCCTCTGGAGTTTTAAGTGTTGAAATCTAGTCAAACAAAAACAACCATCACAGGCAAGGAGATGGAGACCTAATGCACAGAACACTAGTGGGACAGACAGGAGAGGAGGGTCGACCCCTGAGCTACCATGTGGCCCTGACAAGTACATCATTTCCCCTTTCCGCCCTTCTGATTGTTTAGATGGCAAGTTCTGTTAATCAAGGGCCATCTGTTCCTGTGTCTGTGCAGTGTCCAGCACAATGGAGCTCTGATCTCAGTTGAGGTCTCTAATGTTACTGAAATAACAATAGGAGTAACATTCTGATTTTAAGACATGCTCAATTTAAGCTTAATAACATGTATAACCAAATCCAATTTGATTTTGACTTTAAGATGCCCCCCCTTAATTTGATTCTGCACATGACAAATGTATAGATTTGTTATAATTTTCCATAATCTCTATATAATTTTCCACACATAGAATACAGGCATACCTCGTTTTATTGCGCTTCGCTTTATTGTGCTTCGCAGATATTGCGTTTTTTACAAATTGAGGCAAGACCCTCCACCAGCAAAAAGATTACGACTCGCTGAAGGCTCAGATGATGGTTAGCATTTTTTAGCAATAAAGTATTTTTTAATTAAGGTATGTACATTGTTTTTTTAGACATAATGCTATTGCATGCTTAATAGACTACAGTATAGTGTAAATATAACTTTTATATGCACTGGGAAACCAAAAAATTCGTGTGACTCGCTTTATTGCGATATTCGCTTTATTGCGGTGGTCTGGAACCGAACCGGCAATATCTCCGAGGTATGCCTGTATACAGAACACGTATAGAATTTCCATGTATTATTTTCCACCTTCCCACCCCCCCATTGGCTTATACTCAAATCCAAGATGAGGAGCCTTCCTCTCCATGTTGAATGAAGGGGAAAAAATTCTCTTCTTGGACTCAAGTAAATAAGCTAGAAAATCAGCAAAAAATTGTTAATTACAAAAGTGGTGCATAAATACTGTACTGGCTCAATTTAGTGAACTTCGCTCCTCTGCACTGACCAATAAAACCAAATCCCACTGTAAGACACGAACATCTGATATATTTGCTCGTATTAGCCCCATTGATTGGATCAGATCCATTTACCAGTAACTGAACGTCAGCTGCAATGATCAAAGAGTTTCTTAGTTAATTAAATTAAGTTAAAAAAATGTCTTAGTGTATTTAAAAGGGGCTTCCTCTCCTAAGAACCAAATAAAAGCCTCTAACAATGGCTTGGTGCCAACTAGATTGCCTGTTTTTCACCTGGAAAGGGAAGCAATTCTCTTTTTCATTAATTCAGTGCAATTCAGCTGTTCCAATGGATGAAAGGATGAGATCCTTTGTTTCTGTTAGAGATGGACCTATGCCCCCAATTCTAACCCCACGCTGAACGTCAGACTCCTTCCCCATTTCTATTTCTGAATCAGCTCATCCATCCCCATAAAAATTTCACATCCTTGGCATCGCAGTGTCACCTCCCCACCTCCAACACCGTAAGTCCTGGTCCCTAATTTCTTGGCTAACACAGGCATTTTTCTGGTGTTTTTCTCTTCTTTTGGGGTTTGCAAGTTTTCTTCTTGTGAATCACCTTCACCCCATCCCAGCCTTCCTCCAGAGCAATCTCCTTGTTCTTCAGGGCTTCATAGACACTGTTGACCATAATCTCAAAGGCCAAGTCCACATTAATATTGCTCTTGGCAGATGTTTCAATGAAGTCCATGCCCAGGTAGGCTGCCAGCCCTTCTGCCTCCTCAGTGGAGACTTTACAGTCTGATTTCAGGTCACATTTGTGGCCAATCAGGAGGAAGATGACCTTTTCCATAATCTGGATGCTGGCCACCTCATGGTACCACTCCAGAATGCGTTCAAAGGAATTGCGGTTGGTCATGTCGAACACCAGCAGCACGCCCACGGCGTTCCGATAGAAAGACCTGGTGATGCATCTGGGGACACAAATGAAATAGCTTACCAAACCTCAGCCTAGGGATCTCAGAAGCTTTGATCTGCTTAAGTTCTTCTATTCAGTCCCAGGACATGATGCCAGCAGTTCTTACTTTGGGCCACACATCACTCTCAGCTCACTCAGAATTGGGGCCCAGATCTTTTTGATTTTGTTTTTTGCTGCCTTATGACATAAAAAATAGGTTTGGGAGTTATTTTCTTTCTGTCTTTTACATTTAAAAATAAGGTGTTAACTACCGTGCCATTTTTCTGGAAACTGTATGGACAGCTAAAGGAGTGTGATTATGACCCCAGAGATGGCAAGGAAATAAATTCATTTGAAAAAGCCTTTAATTAGCTTTATTTGAAACTCCCTGGGTTTGTTGTAAATACTAGGCATGTTTACACGTGCATTTACACTGGTTTAAATTTACTGCGCAGTAAGCAGGAATAGACTGACGTCTACATGTACAGACGTTAAAGTGCCTTAATACTGTGTGTGGGCTGACTTGGGACTAAAGTTAGTCCCAAGTCAGTCTACACACACAGTATTACTATGCAGTAAGACGTCTACACGTGCATTACTGTGCAGTAACTAATTGGGCATAAATTTGATAACTGCACAATGCAACTATTAAATTTACATTCAAGTTGGCATAAGTTGCTATATTTACTGTGCAGTACAGGCATGCATGTGTAGACGTGTGCCTGTACTGCACAGCAATTTCAGTTACCGTGCAGTAAATGCACATGTAGATGTGCCCACTGGGTACATCTACACGTTCATTAATGTGCCACAGCTACTGTGCATTAAGTTTAATAGTTGGATAATCAAGTACTAAATCAGTGTGCAGTAACGTGAACTATTGCACAGTAGTGCTGGCGCACAGGGGTTTTTTGGACGTTAACTGCACAGTAGCCTAATACTACTGCGCAGTAGCATATTAGCACATGTTTTGCCTAGCATGCTACTGCGCAGTGTTATTAGGCTACCACGCAGTTAGTGTCTCATGTAGATGCACCCACTAGTCAACTCAAGTGCAGAACAAAAACTTTAGAGAAAAGGGTTTTTTGTTAAAGGCATCTCAGCTGACCCTTACTGCTTCAATTAAAGACAGGTATGAGAATTCTTGAATTGGGATTGTGTCCTCGGACTGTATCTTTGCCCTCTTATCCAGCACTTTGGGTTGTTGTAGTGGGCCCTCTGTGCTGAGGGATGGAGTAGGGAGAAGGGGCATGCCTGAACTTCAGGCTCATTCACTGTATGGGTCAAGACCCAAAATCTCCAGACCCCCACAGCTATATGTACCATATCTTTTGGCAGACACCCCAGCCCATTCTAAAGTTAGAAAGAAAATAGTCAGTTAGATGGTCTATGCAAGCAAGCTACTCACGAGTATGTATATTTTTTGAGACCAGGCCTGTAACTAGAACAGTAATTCCATCCTCCACGCCCTCACTTAAAACACTCAGCTCCACCATCATTGCAGATCCTTAGTCTGCTTCTCCCTTTTTCACACTTGATGGAATCTGTTCTCCAATGGACAGCAATCACTATTTTCCCTTTCACCCCCACAAACAAAGGACATTAGGTAATATCAAACCCTGCCTCTGAGAAGTGCTAATGGTGTGTTAACTCCACTCTCCCTCCAGCTTCTCTTCAAGAGCAAGCCAGAAATGACTGTTGGTTCACTGCTGGCCAAACAAATAGTTGTAACCGACCCTGAAAATACAGATCTCTTGCAATCCAATCCCTCCCACCCTGCCTTTAACTGCAAATACCCTTCCCAAGCCTGGCTGGGTGGCTTCAAGCACATGATGCCATTACATCATGACATTTACAAGGCTGCAAAGAAAACTGGAAGCAAAATACTGTGAAAAACACTGTGCTTGGGCCCTTGGGCACCAGCACAGCACCAGAAAGAGCAAGACTGAGGGCACAGAATGGTCCATGCAGAAAATAGGTCTGGGTGAGCTGGGTTCCTATCTATGGGCAGTGTCTGGGCTGGAGAAGGGAATAAGGTTTTATTGGATCTGGGTTTCTGGGGAGAGGGTGTGTATGTGTGTCTCTCTCTAAAAGGATTAGCTCCTGGCATGTAGATCTGTGTGTGTGAAGGGCTGTCTCTCTTTGTCTCACTGTGCCCACATTCCTAGAGTTGCCCAGAAACAGGGACCCTTGAGGCAAAAGCCCAGAGGTAGCTCCCTGCATCTCTCCTGGGAAGAAATTACCATGCCCCAGGAAGAAAGGGCCCTGGATTGGAATCAGGGGAAAATTGCTGAGATTAAGGCAGACGTACCTCTGTTCAAAGGGCTGCATCTTACAGCCACATTTTTTTAACTCCGGGCAACTGCGGCCTTCTTGGAATCTCTCTCTCGTGTTCATGGCCTCACGCATTTTAAATCAGAACTTTATAAATGAGAGAAAGTGCCATCCAGTCTAACCCCTGGGTCATCTCACTGTAGGGCTCTGGCCACACAGGGAAAATTAAAACCTGTAACTTGCCACTGGTGCTAGGCTCTGTTTGTGGGATTGACTGGTTGAGCGGATTGGTAGAAACAGGGGTGCAGGTTGTAGCCCTGTTGGTCTAAGGACATAGGCAGATGAGGTTCTTTGGGTAAACCCAATATCTTTTATTAGACCAACTTAAATAGTTGGAAAAAAATTTTTAGCAAGCTTTTGGGTTTAAAAGCCCTTCATCAGGCTGAGGAAGTCTCTGCAGTTGGAGTGTGCGCTTCCTGGACAGAATGAATAGTAAAGAAGCCAGAGGCTGGGCTGGGCTGCATGCAAGATTGATTGGTAGGAACATGCCCCGGAGCTTGCAAGGTAAAGAAAACCCATCGGGTGGATAGTGCTAGACAGGGTGTGGGTAGGGGGTTCTGTGTTCCTGGTCCCCAGGCTCCTCACCTGAACCTCTCCTGGCCGGCTGTGTCCCAAAGCTGTAGCTTCACCTTGATCCCTGGAGGCAGCTCGATCATCTTGCTGTAGAATTCCACCCCCACGGTGGGGCAGGGAGCTGGCCCGAAGCACCTCTCTGTGTATCGCCTGAGCAGGGAGGACTTGCCCACCGTCGAATCCCCCAGCAGGATGATGCGGAACTGATAGTGCCAATTACCGTTCAGGTTACAGACGGGAGGAGATGGTGCTGGCTCCATTCTGAGGTGCCCCAGAGGAGCAGACAGGCTGTGTGTGGGGCCTGGAGCACCCCTGTAGTCAGGATGAAGCTTCCTGCGGAGGACGGTGAACTGCTCTGGAGGCTGAGAGCCCTGCTCAGAGCAGCAGGTCAAGCTTTGCTATCATGCAATGACAGTAGAGAGGTTAAGGACAAAGAATTTAATCAGGAGTCTCCACCCTCATCCCATTAACTTCCTCCCCCTGCCCCACCAGGTGGACTCCCCACTGGGAGCAGAGACAGTTTAGCTGGGAGAAGAGGCACTCCACCCCTTTCCTTTCCTTTCCTAGCCTCAAACCACCCATCCTCACCTCCCCCCCGCCATAAACAAACAGCTCCTCTGTATCAGGTTACTACCAGACTCAGGGCAGAGGGGGGAGATGCGATGGGGGCCAGGTCTACATTAACCAAGTTCTGCTGATGTAGCTGTGTCAGGTGAGGGTGTGAAAACAGTCATGCACCCCAGCCAGCATCACTGCGTCAGCAAAATCCATGCTTTGCAACTGAAGAGAGCGCCTTTGCTCATGTTGTTTGGGGGGGGGGGATAACTATGCCAGGAGAAAAATGTCTTATTTGCCATATGCTGCATCTCCTTGAGAGGGGCACTACCAGGAGCGTTCCTCTGGGCTGGCTTCAGCAGAGGCAGTCAAATGTCTCCAGGTCCTAGGAATGCAGAAATTTCCAATCCAGATCAGACTGGGGGCCCACTAACCTAGTGTTGCTTTAGAGAAATAGGCAAGAAACTTACGGTTTCCAAGGGGCCACAGTGGCCTGCTTCTGCAAACTCTTAGGATTACATATCCCTAGTTTTGATTCCTGTTGTTCTAGCTTTGAGGGCAGCCCAGCCCACAGCTGATCACTGCTGCTGCCTTTCAGCCACTCACATGATCTCGAAAATGTCCCTTTATATACATTCGAATACAGGAATCCTTACAGAAAGGCTGCAGGCTGAAGAGTAAGGAAGCAGAGGCCAGACGGGCAGAGACCCAGGTCAGAGGGTAGGAGGGACATGACCCACACTGCATAGAGAAAGGGGAACTACCATGCAATCTGCCAGCTCAGAATGTCCTGAGTGTCTGAAACCTTGGCTCTGTTTAAAAGCATCAGCAGTTTTGATTTCTGGCTTCATCCTCAGCCACTGCCTTGAACACAGTGGACATGTCTACATGTGTATTTATACGCTTCTAAACTTAAGACAGTTTAGGCACACGTCTATACATGAATGCACTAACACACAGTAAGGCACAATAAATTTAGGTGTGAGTAGCTAAGTCACATTAGTGCATGTGCAGATGTGCTAATGCGCATTAATGTGGTGTGTATCCAGTGACGCACATTTAATGTGCATTAGTGCATCTACACGTGCGCTAATGTGACTTAGCTATTTGTGCTTAAATTTGATACCTACTTTACTCTTTATGCAGGTATCAAATTTAGGCTCACATAGCCTTAACTCATCATTTTTAAGGCACAGTAAGGGTGTGCACATGCAAACATGTGCCCTCAATGTGCCTTAAAAGTAGAAATTTTAGGTTAAGCCTGCTTAAAAGAGGCACATGTAGACATGCCCCGTTTGGTCAAGGCTGAGCCATTCCTAGTATCCCTTGCAGAAAGGGGCCTAATCCCTCGGAGAAACAGGGCTTACTCTCCTCATGATTGATTAGTATAGTTTGGCTTAGCAGCTCAATTGTTTTCCTCTGAGAATGGGATAGTGAAAGCCATGAACAGTATTCTTGCTGGACAAAGGGCCAGGAGTTAATTAGCAAAGGGAAGGCTGAACAGTTGAACTGACTGTTGTTGCCAGATGAGTTCTGAATGATCCGCAACAGGTGCTGATTGTTGCTTGCCTGTGTCCCAGGCACTGGGGACAGAGGGAGGGGGCCTTTGATGTCAACACCATCCCTTGAACTGCCCCAGGCTGTCCTTTATCCCCTCATACAAAACATCTTAGTGAGCAAAACTAATGAGGAGGGTTTTCAGAGCTGGAGGAGTTAAACAATAGCTGTTAAAAAAAGAATGTGATAGGGTCAGAGTTCATGTACTTGGGCGGGGGGGGGGGGGGGGGGGGGTGG